CCTTTTGGGATAATGGTTTTAACTATTTAAATAAATAGAAAAATGACAGACTTACTGGCAAGATTAACCGGTATTAAAACTATGTTACTTGAAAGTCAAAGACTACTGTTAATGCTGCTGACAGACTGCTATGTTAATGCTGCTGACAGACTGTATCAAATGGAAAACACAAAAAGGATAAAGCGCACTCCTGTGGGGTAGGCAAGCTTCAATTAGGTGGCTGTTGTGTGTAGGTGTGCAAAGCTCCTCGCTACAGGGAGAGGACCCTGTCTATTCACACCTACAGATTCAAAAACAAAAAATCAGGAGCGCAACTACCAAACGTGGTGTGAGTGGATTTGATTTGGCGAAGGGCCCAGTGGATCTATGTAATAAGGAGTGTTGATAGATCTTTGAGTGTGGAATCTGGGTGTCTATGGCAATGTTACAGCAAACAAAAAGGACTTACGGTTAGGAGCTCCCCCGTTGTCTGTGCGACCGCCTCCTTGGACAGATCCTGGCTCGAAGAGATGTCCCTGGTGGTGTGAGAGGCTGGTCCAGTCTGGGTGTGCATCCGTATGGCCGCCCACGTTCTCGGCTGGCCGGGCCGAGCCGCATCGGTCAGGAACGGAGAAAAAGGGGGAGGAGCTACACGCGGCTGAAGGACGCCGTGCGCCGTGTGTCAGTGTTGGTCACAGGGGTCTAAGAATGTCGGGTGGCTACGCGTTTCGAGGGGTTACCTCTTTATCAAGCCTCAAGATGCTCAATCATATAGCTATGTTTTTATTATGCCCATAGTTCCACTTTAACTTACAGGTCTATTCACAAAAGGGTGAAGAGCTTGGAGAAGGCAGGAGAAGTGAACAATATAGGCCAAAATAGCCGATTTGGAAAAAATCTCCAATTCAGATCACTTTCCAGTTCAGCTATGATGTCCTAGATTGTTCCCTTCTCCTGCCTTCTCCTAACTCTTCACCATTTTGTGAATAGACCTCTTAAAACATATATTTTCTTCTGTCAGTGTTACTGTTAGAGAGATTTACCCTCACTTCCTGTCCTGGGGACAACCTTTTAACCACTCAGGAGGAGAAGGAATTTCTCCAACAGAACCTCCGATGGTAGGAAAAACTGAAAGGAGTTCTAATCCTTCCCCACTCTATCAAAAAGTAAAACAATGTGTTGGGTATAGATATACTTTAAATAAAATTCAGAAACTGCAGGTCCTATGTCCCATGACAGTTTCCTGTAAAATATTCCCCATTGCATTGCTGTATTATTGTGGTTGGACTTCAGTTCTCCAAACACAATACAGCCGGATGGCAGTCCCACTTTTGTAGGATGCTAAACTAGTTAGGGACACATACACATTACAACAGCTTTAGTCAATTCTCCTTAAAGACAATAGATACATTTTTAAGATCTATAATTTAAATTATGCAAATAGTTGTGGCGCAATACAATACACACTTATTTGTAAATGCATATACAGTATATCTATACTGCTTGATTTGATTGTGTATTCAATAATATGTTCTTGTAAGGAATGTATAAATGTTATTGTAGTAGATATTTTCCAAGGCTTGGTTTTATTTTCATTTGTTTCTTGCATAATAGAAGCATTGCAGACTACTAATCAGTAGTTAAATAGGCATAATTTATCATGTTGACACATAAGGTGCTTTTATGTGAAAGACATTGAAGGTTTTTCTTCACTATGGCATTTGACCCTCAAAACAAAATGGTGCTCGTTTACTAAAAGCAAATTGGCTGTTCACTTTGCAAGGGAATTTCCCTTAGCGTAGTGAATCTGGTAAACATTTACTTTGCAAAAAATAACTGGCCACACTCCAGGAAAATAAAATAAAAAACTTGTGCAGGGGGCTTGGTGTCCATTTTACTAGAATTTGTTTTTAAAGTGGACCTAGGAACACATATAATTTCTTTTCATATTAAAGTGGAACTAAAGTGAATTCTAAGGGGAAATACCCTTGCAAAGTAAACAACCTATTTGCCTTTAGAAAATCAACCTCAATGAGTCCAAGCAATGGTGCCATTATTACTGCAGAAAATTCATTTTAGAACTGTCTGCAAATAATCAGTGTATTTTGGGGTTTTCCCACCCAGTAATCGAATAGCATAAAGTTACTCATACAGCTTGCAATTATGATTCCGAAATTTAACACGAACGTGTTTTCGAACGATAATTGGCCAGCTGATGGGAAGTGAATGATCACAATTACTGTAGAACTGGCTGAATTTCCTTGATCGGTCAGGCTGAAAAACTTGTTTAGAATCCTAAGAAAATCGATGGATTAGAGGCATTTTCGTACCGAAAAAAATTGCACCGTGAACACTGCACATGCACAAACGAAAATCCGTTTTGTTGATCGGCGAAATTCGGCCAGTTAGTATTGCTAACGAATGATAATCGAAATAGACATTGGTCTGTGCATGATGGTGTATTCTAGGGGAAATCAAATGGGGGTTTGATGACGGGACGAAAGAAATTGAACGATAATTGTAAGGTGTATGGCCAGCTTTAGGGAGGGTTGAAATACAAGATTGTTTTCATTGTCCCATGAAGGATATGAGTAGGGTGATCAGCACAAGCCAGTATTTGGTCAAATCTGTTACATTATGGGCTGCTTGCTTGCAACTCATCATTGATATCTTTAAACATTGCCATACAAAAGAAGATTTCCAGCAATAGGCTGTGAGTGATCTGCAAGTGATTATTCCACACCAATTCTGCACCACCAGGATCTGAACTGACTTATACGATGACAATAGTCAAATTATGCCTTAATGCAGTAAAAAATCCCTTTCCTTTATATATCTGGAGAAAAATTAACAAATAACGTATTTAGTCACTACATGCCATATATGTTCATTATCATTACACAGCCTAACTGTTACATCCTAAACGGGTAGCACTGGTTGCTAATAACAGATCATGAATTGCTGGCCTCACTGATTTGTTTTTTTTTCCAGTTTTTTGTGACTGCAGCAAACCATAGCCTTTGATACCATATAATTAGATGAGCATGGTAATTATCACTTCTGCCCTGCAGTGCTGGAGTCCTGGGCTCATCCTGTCAAGGACACTGTCTGCATAGTTTGAATATTCCTACTGGTTCAGTGTTCTCTGTAAGGCTCTCTGGAAGAAGTGTCAGCTCTATATAAATTAAGCAAAAATATGTTTTTGCCTTTTTTCTGGTGACTGATGCCAGCTTCGTAACAAAGCCAAATGTGTTAAGACCATCTTACTGGCTCATATATTTATGCTTTATTATGTCAAATCAGTTCTGTCTGAACTGGCAGCCACTGCTGTAAAGGTACAAACTATATGGGCACAACAAAGATAAAACAAATCTACATATAACTATATATACAGTGTAGCATACTATTTTGCCAGAAGACATATGTCACAAGTGACATTTCATTTAGTTCTATTAGCCAAAGTGGTGGTTTGATGCAGTGGTTTGTGCTGCAACTCACTGTGCTAAAAAAAAAGAAAAAATCCATGACATGTTTTTCCAGTACCCACAGCAACACTGCAGTGTGAACTGACCTAATTGAAAGCAAGTCTTTTTGCCTTGTCAATGTGTTGAGTGTTCACTAGGCCAGAGCAGCTCTAACACATCTGGTATGAATAAGCCCTCATCTAGCTACCTTTATTAGTCAGAAAAGCCTCTCCTGATGGCCACTCAGGTCCAGGCTTTACACTACGCTAAAGACTCCACTTCTTTGACTTAAACACCACCCTTGTAGTCAAGCATTGCTTATCTGCCATCACATTATCCAGTGAGAGTGTTCTTAAGCTGGCCATACACTGATCAAATTCTTGCTAACTCAGCCAAAATTCAAGCAGTGTGTGGCCCCATCAGGCACCCCACTTGGCAAAAATTGATTATCCAATTAACTGTTGTTGAAGGAGAATTTTTAGTGGAACAGTCACTGCAGCCAGTCAGTTACAGTCATGGTTTGGGTTACACCTGCTGCTGTTAGAATACAACTGTGCAACAAGGGGATTCCCCATCCATGCTGTTTGCATGGATAAGAGAATCAATAGTTTTTTTTCCATTCAGGTCCATGGTGCTGAATGAGAAAAAGTTTCCAGATTTATTGTCTACTGAGGTGCTCACATTACAACTTATGTTTGCTCAGCATTTAGCATTACATTTTGCCTAATTGACATTTTCAGGCTGTTTACACTCCAGAATATATAAACATTGCCCTAGGTTATAGTACATAGAGTACTTATTCCCAGCGATCTCATATCACTCTGCACCCTTCAGGCATATACTGCCAGCTCTTTACTGGAAATACTCAGGTTATAGCAACTGAAAAGCATTCTCAATATAGAGTGACTGCCCATGTTCAGTCAGTAATCCCAACTTGTGCAAAACCTGCCTTTGTATAAATGGTTACAAATCCTGTATGTAAATCAAGAACCATCACTACATAAGGGTAACATTTCTTGGAGTTGAGGTTGGTTCAGACATATATGGGCTGAAGCCATATGGGCTGATGCCAAAATGCAGAAATGTATAACCAGCACAACAATGGAAATGTTGATCATCCTAACCATAATCCTTACCATTGTAACACCTGGGGTAGTTTCGGGGTTGTGGATCGCAACTGCGGATGCTACTCAGACGGAACCCTGGTTTCACTCCCAATCTTAACGGGGAGTTAGGGTTCAAGCATCACAGCCAAAGAAACAAAGAAAGGAAGAAGGGGTATTACAGCATATTCCCAATCTTGATAATAGTACCCTCAATTTGTATTGGTTATGGACGATAACTGAAATTCAGGAGTGTTGCAGCCTTAGTTAGAGTCAATGATGTAATTTCCCAACAGCCCACTAGAGGGAGCACAAGAGCTAATCCAGGGTTCCCAGTTATACTGTCAAAGGTTTAAGCTGCAGTGCAAATGAGCACAAGTACTTGCGGTTTTAAGTGAAGGCAGTTTAAAGTGCAGGGGTCCAGGAGCAATCGATGCAAAGCTTTGTAGCGGCTTCAGGCGAGTAGAAGAGCTGTGGGGTCCCAGAAGACAGTAGGCGTCCAGTCTGCATTAGTGGAACGCCACACTGTCTCACTGGGGCGCTTATATAGGGCCAGGGGCTGGGGGTGGAGCCGCTGGTCGAGGCGGCGCACTTCCGCGTCCCACCGTGGAACGCATCCGACGCCCGAACCCGGAAGTGGATGTGTGCGTTCCACCCTGGGACGCAGACGGCCGGCGGCGAGAAGCGGCGGAACCGTGCCCTCCCCGGACCCCAGGTGAGCGTAGTCGGCGGTTCCCGTTACAACCATTAACTAATTGATTACACAGCATACAACAGTTAAAGCGGACCTTTGCCCATATCTTTAACATAACAGCATGCACACCTTTAGAAATGTTTAGTAATGGCAATCTACAAACGCATACTTCTAGATAAATGCAGACTTTGTATTCTTTGCATACCTTATTTCTCTTTTCTTCCCTAGTCTTCTGACAGTTTGCACATCATCTCGGGGGAGGGGGGGGGGAGGGGGGCTGGTGAATGCCTTACCCTGAGATCTCGTGAGATTACAGGTGAGATTTCCCCGTAATGCTTTGCTGATGTAAACTTCCTTGGATGCAAAACTTTGGCATATTACATAATTTGTGCTAGAAGTGGACCAGGAAGTAGATGAACTCTTTTTGTAAATAAATGAAAGACATGTTTATTTAACAAATTAATGTAAGATTATTTTAAGTCAGCATGCAGAGCTGCACACCTGTGCCCAGACTATGCACACTTAAGTATGTACATATTCTACATAAGCAGTAAATGCACTCTAAAACTAACCATTATTCAACTCTGTGGCTATAGGCGTTATGGATAAATCTATCTTTAGACAGACAGCAAAGGCACCGATTTTTTTCCCCTTTTACTTTCTATTGCACTAGAATCTTGTCAGCCCGCCATCCCTCTAATGTAAAAACAAAGCAGGAGTTTTATGCTGCTAGAAACTGACTAAAACTAACTCTAGAGCCTTTGTTGTGATCTTTGAGAACATATGAAAGTAACTTACTAGTACAAGCAGCTAAAGAGGTCAGGGGTGACTTATTTTAAAGACATTTTACTACTTAAGAATATATACATACTTTAATGTCCATCACACAGGTACATTCTAAAGCCTAACTACAGTCAAACATTCTTATTTTAAGTTTTTGGTAAGATTAGTGAATGGGAAGGACATCCATGAGAATTGTATTGACGCCTGTGTCCTTGTTTAGACAAGGACTGTTTAATTTCCTATACCTGTGGCACCAGGAAAAGAAACCAGGGGAACAGGTGTCTTGGCAGTGGATGGCCCAGACACAAAGGAAAACCTGACAGAGGTTCTAACCTTTCCCCAGTCAGCAAAAAAGAAAGTCTTTATACTCACTGGAGAGATTTCCCATCACATGTTGGCCTGCTGATCCAAATCGGCAAGACAAGCAGTGAGGGACACAATTAAACATGCTCCCACTTTACTTTAAATTTACTAATTTGGGACTTGCAGAAAAAAATTAAATTGGTTCATGTTTTAATGTGCACAATTTCTGTGGTACATGTAAAACCTAATTTCATGTCTTGAACTCATTGAAAACATTACTCAGATGCCATTTAAAGAAGTGATGAAAGTCTTTTCGGTGTCTCATTTACATGTAATCCTTGAGTCTGCCGCTATTGATAAGGATGAAGATATGTGTAAGCACTGTCAGCTGGACTTAATATAAAGATTATTCTTAGTGTTTTGTTAACTCAGCTATTTCTAAAGAAAGGTTTCTCATATTAATCTTTTAAAATGGTTTTATGGATTTCAGCGTGCAGTGACTTTATGTTGGTTTTCACATTTTCCACGGTTGCCAAAAAAGACCTCTGCACTTTGAGGTGTCCTAGAAATTTCATACTTTAAATATGCAATTAAAGTATTAAAATAACAGTTCATCTCCTGAACCTCTTATACAATATTATTTTTGCAGAAGGAATTAAATGAACTTGTCCTGATATACTATCTGATTAACTATAAATGAACATTAAGATTATTTAATTCAAATGTAACGACAGTGTACAAGATGGTGTAACCCAGACTAACCAATTTGATATAATCTTAATTCCCTAATGGACAGCAAAATCTGAACCCTGATTGGTCATTTTGGTTTATGGTTTCCTACATTTTCAACACCAGTATTGCACTAGTAATTGAAATAGCATTTTTTTTTGAAAAATAAAATGCCCAGCCCACCTGCAAGAAAAGCACAATGTGTATCATTCTTAGCAAATGTTGCTGCAGACACTACGATAGGCAATGCCAGTGCACTTACTTTACTTAAATGCACTGGTAAGGACAGCTTGATATTTCATCAACAGGATCAGTGTTGCAATAAGAAATACCATCTCCCCTCTAGTGTCTCCCCACAATAAAACCTCCTAGTACAAGGATCATTGGTATGTGGATTAGAGCTGTGTAGGGTTCTGAAGAAGACAGTAAGGGATTTTGGAAAAGAAGTCTACTACCTGGGTAATCTTACCTTTCTAAAAGAAAGGACATTCATAACATTTTGGCAGCTATGGCTGGCTAATCAAGGAAAATGGAGGATTGTTAATTGTTAATACCATTAAATAACAAAATACTGTAGCTTGTGTAGCAATTACAATTTTAATGAGGATATTATTTGGTTGTTAACATATTGGCATATGCATATATACTTTAGTATATCAGCCCCTCTGTGTAATCCAGTGGCTAGATAAGATAGGATGTCGGAGACATTCAACAGTAAATATACAGAGACAGAAAAGAGACACATCACTAAGAACACATAAACCTACTATTTGTGCTTCATCAGACAGAATTTCATTGCTGTTAATTATACACTATAGATCCTATTGTCAGCATGGCAGCATACTTATTGTATGTCTACATGTAGTTTCTAATGCCCACTAAAGTAACAAAGTTTATTTAGTAACTCAGACCTAAATTGAAAGCTCTGTGCCTTCAGCACTGCGGGATGCTTTGAGAGAGGTACTACTTTCAAAGCACTGGTGTAGTTTGTGCTCTGTATTCCTGGGCTGCTTTAATTCCTAATCTGGCACCTCTACGATTGAGTATATATACTGAATTTATACAATCATTTGATGGCATGAACATCTCTGAATGATTGTAGCCTTTCAATTTTGTAATTTACACTAACTCTTTATTGTAATGGCTGACTACACATTTTATTAGGAAGTGATGGGGCATAAAATGAAAAGACTGCAGGTTTACCTGGATTTATGAGGTTATTCCGGTGACCCCACTAAACACAAATGACCCTCTCGTCTGCTAGCTTACTACGCTATGTCTGCCAGAAGACAGAAACTGTCACCATTATGTGAAGCGAGTGCAGCATTGTTAAGCATTGTATGACTAATATCATAGCAGATACTAAGGCATTCTGTCATTTTATAAACAAAATAAATGCCTGTGTAATCTCTAAAGTGTTATCCAGTAAGAGCTTCTGAGTCAGTTTACTCATCTATATTTAATAAAATATATAGTTAAAGCGTGTATGTAAACCAATAATCCTATTTCCTTTCGTTTGGTCCTTTAAATACATCATTAAAAGTTAAAACAAACAAACAAACTGTAAAATACCTCTTGATCCTGCCAGAATTCCAGTGAGCTTTTAAGTTACTCTACTCTATGCCTGTATTGCACATTGATCAGTTAGCACTATTCTCTCTGTGGACTACAAATCACTACCCCATATGCTATGAAGAAGTGTAGAGGGACAGAGACAAGATGTTCTGTAGTCCTCTCCTAGTGTTACAATGCTGCTCCTCTTTGGATACAATAGGGTGAGTGAGCATTGTCACCCTAGGGCAGGAAGTGTGTCATTGGCAGGATCAACAAGAAAGAAAGACATTCAACTGCCATATCTAAGGGCTGGTATTATGCAATCAATACATTTTTTGTTCTTAGATTAGTTTGAAAACTACTTAAGCTTTGATCCATCATTTTTCTGTGACATAACAGTTAGCTTTAAAATCTGAACTTCTATAGATTTCCGCCATCTGTTGGGAGCAGTTTAGATGTAGCAAATAAACATTTATCACAATTACCTAAAGCATACTGTGCCATTGGTGGCCTAAAAGTCACCCAGGATTCTCAGCCAGAGGGGCTGAGTGGCTCCAGGAAGCAATTGCTTGTACCAGGAAAGAGCTAGCTTCTCAGTCCTTTCCAGGTTTTCTGGATCATAGTTGGGATCCTGGAAATCTTCATTCCTGGGTCCATGCTTTAGTGGCAGCCAGCACCTGATTGTGTACCTGTGTGCATCCCTCATGAGGAGGGTGCTGGAGTGTGTTCAGGGCTCCAGCTGGGAAGAGGAACATAGGTGTTCAGGAGTCAGAGGGGAGCCAGGTAGCTGTGTGTGCTGGAGGCACACAAAGGCCAAGCCAAGTTTGGTGTGGGCTGGAGGCACATGAACAGCCTGGGAGGCTGGAAAGTTTGGCGAGGCTGAGAGAGCCACTGAGCAGGACAACCTGAGAAGGGTGAGATGATCTGTTTTCCAAGCACACTGTATGTTGTACTGCTGAAGTAAAGCTATTTTATGTTGAACTTCCTTGGTTGTCTGCCTTTGAAGAAATAAAAGACTGTTCTTTTTTCTGTTAAAACGGCTCAGAGACTGATCCTTAAGCGCTCACCATTTGTGCTAACCTCACTAACACTTAATAACATAACTGTAAAGGCAAAAATAAGTGATTCCAAAACCTAGAGGATACAAAATTATCAGTATATAAATAATGAAAATATTTTTCATGGCACATCAGGCAAGCTATTCCATTAAATCTTCTTCCACAGATCTCTGTGGTCATTCTATGGCTGTAAGCCGATTTTTGTTTGGTATGATAATGGGTGAAGTTATTTTTGGGCACTTCCAGGTCACAACCTAGGGACTTAACAGTCTAGTAGGAACTTAAAATATAAAACAGACAGCCTGTTGCCTTCAACAAGTTTTAACTAAGCAAATATGCCTCTCGCAAGGAGGGGTTTCATTGGGATCAAACTGATAGCTTAAAGTGACCCTGCCACTGCTGAAAAAAGTTAGGCCTATAAAATAAAATAGTGAATTCTTACCTGTCTCGATCTGCAATCTATTGTTGAGTTACAGGAGTCTGAAGAATATTCTGGTCCCCTCTGCACCTGTTGTTTCCTCCCACTGACCCCCAAGGACACTACAGGACACAGTGGAGCCTTGGGGCCAAGCATCCAATAAACATGACTGGATGCTCAGGCCCTGAGGGCTACTTTGTGGGGAGACAGGTGTTATGTCATGCTTACCCATACAGAGAAATGCTGTCATGTTTAATGGGCAGCTGATGTAATCATATCAGGGGGAGGGGAGCATTGTTAAGGGTACATTTACGCATTAGAGGGTAGAGGGTGTATTTGTTTTTCAAGTCAAATGTTGCATACATGGCTTTTTGGATCATTCAAAGGTTTTAGGAAGTCTTTTCGATGCATTTACATTGACTTATTGCATGTGGAGGAATAAAAGCAATGTTATATGGTGCCTGGCAAAAGCAACAAAAAATACAGTTGCTCTATAAAGTTCAAATCAAAATTCCAACACTTCAAATTGTTTTAAAATCCTTCACATACTGTATGTAAGTCAGAAGCAAAACCCACACAGCTCGAAGGAATCCTTGTGCAGCTACATAGTCTTTTGTTCAGCACAACTGTAATCAGAAGCTTCATTTTAATAGTAATATTTACAGACCATTAAGCCATAAAACATACGCCCATAAGTATGAAATGAAATTGTTGGTGCAATGCATTAGTGGATAAAAGGGGTACATTTAGAAAACCTTGGTTATTAAGGAACATGTTCTTCTTTAAGTAGAATGCCAGACAAAGAGCTACATACACAGTTTAAGTACAAATACGTTTACCGGTTTATCTGCCAAAGGTTTTGTAATTCTCTACAACCAATCCTGTGATTTACACATATCACTAAGACTATACATTCATACACTTATTTCATGGTTCAGCAAATCAGCTTCCTGTATCACCTCTGCATCTCCAACCTGATTATGAATCAGGATCTTCATCTGTGTCCAGTTAGTAAGGAGGTGATCCAGGAGGCAGGAGAGAATGTTTCCCAGTCAAGCTGTCCAGTGTGAAACGCATGTGTAAATTCCAAGAATGGCTCCAAAATATGTCACATCCTTTGGCAAATAAAACAGTAAACATTCGTATTTAAATTGTGTATTTAGCTCTTCACCTGCAGTTTCAATTTATTGGTTACTTATAGCCTTTATGGACCATTGTATTTGTTTTTTTCTTACCTGTTTTCCATCTAAGGTGTAGAGCTTCTTCACAACACCTGTCTCCAGTTTAATGGCTTCGGTGATATCAGTGAGTACTTGCTCGAACGAATGGGCTGTCTTTTTATTAAGGAGAACGCGTACAGCCTTCCTTGGTTTTACTCCACTCCGAATGATAGTAACCAGCTTGGGACGAACAAAGTCCTTGTTCTCCCTAGACTGGGCATTATTGCTGGTGCCAAGTGATTGAGGGCTCTTCTGAGCTGAGGGTGTCTTCACATTCACAGACCAGTTCGGGTTGACATTCTTAGTGTATTCCAGTCTCTTGAAAAAGTTGTCGGATGAACAAACATAGCTTTCACCTACAAGACATTACAAAATATATTTGAATAGATAAACTTTTTTGCACTCTAGCATGAAGCAAATACTTTCAACTGTTGTGCAGGGGATTTTTTTGTCCATTTTACTAGAATTCTTTAAAATGGACCTAGTAACAGAAATAGTTTTTGTATTAAAGTGGAACTAAAGTGTATTCATAAAAAATTGCTAGCAGGTAGACGTTTGTTGCAGAAGAGACTCCGTGGGGTTGATTTACTAAAGGCAAATAGGCTGCCTTGCCTGCTAGCATTTTTCTTCTGGATGTGTACTAAGTTGCACATGCCTCAGTTGCTTGAATAAATAAGGTATATCTGAATCCTATTGTTCCTATTTGGATTTAGTGGGGAATGGTTAAAACCTCTGTCAGGTTTTTTGCCATCTGTGTCCTGTTCATGGGATTTCTCTTCACGTCCTGTCCTGTTGGCACCTCAGGATGTAAGAGATAATCCCCACTTAGACAGTTGTCAGCAGAACAAGTAACCACACTGGAAGGTATCCTTCTGAATGCTGTTCTGGTGGCAACTCAAAATATTAGATTTCTCATCATATTATTTTCCTGGGACAATGGTTATCTGGAATAAAAGAGGGTGACTCTCCCTAGGAGGGAAATTCACAGACAGGGATTGTAATCCTTGCCTGCTGAATCCAAAAATTGAAAAATAAGTTTTGTCTATACTTTAATGCAGTCCATTAAATCAAGATGGCCGAAGCTGTCAAACCCCGGATGCAGATGTCAGTAATGGAGTAATGTGGTAGATTGCAGTCGTTGCATCACTGAAGGAGGGTGTGGCAGGTACGTCTACCATAATGTGCAAATCTGCTGTGCATACTTGCATCCTATGGCAAAAGCCCTGGAGACCTACAGTGGGTTTTATTTCTGCTTTCAATGAATAAAGGTAACGTAATATGTAAATATAACACTTTTTACTTCTCACGGCAAGCACAGTGCCTTCACCTGCTTTCCTCTCCACAAGGATAAAGCCATCTTTGTTCAGGCAAATTCAATAGCAGCATCTATTTCCAGGACTGAAATGCCACCTCAGAGATGACACCGTGTTGTAAATTCTGATGTCTGTGTAAATCTTGGTTGTGTTCACAAATGTTAGCTCCTACTGCAGTCTTCCACCTGAGGCCTCCTGCCAGCAGCAGACTAATATCATGCTATATAGTGCTTAGGCATTACTAAATATTATTACCACTGAGTGGAATCTAGAGCAGGAAAGATAAGCACCTAAAAGCTAGTATTAATTAGTCACATTCAACTGGACTTGCATAGTAATGTTGAAGACATTTCAAATACTTATCTAGGTGGCTTCTTGAGTTCAAATTAGTACCAGGAACATACCCCAGCACTATAGCTTAGAGCAGGGGTGGCAAACACAAGGCCCGCACAGCAAGTGTAATGTGGCCCGCACAGCAGCCAAGGCCGGTCCGCTATGCCGACTCTGTGCAGAGCAGTGTCTACTGTGTGGTAGCGAACAGAGCCGGCACTACCACACAGTAGACACTAGAGGGCGCTGGTGGGGGAGGCCAGAGAAACACCTCCTCCCCCAGCCCTCTCTACTCTGTGCTCTTTCCGGAGCTTGCTGGTGCTGTTCCTGCAGCCTGCACTATCCCGGTAGCAGCTGAGATATTCTTGCATAGTCCTATACAACCGACCCTTTGAGGGTAACCATACTGCTGATGCGGCCCCCAATGAATTTGAGTTTGCCACCCCTGGCTTAGAGGGTAACTCAGTCATTCTCATCCCTTCTGCTATTTTTTTTAATATATACTAACAAAAATCTTAGCATTGCTTTATGATAATTTTTATTTTGAGCATATTTCCTCTGTATGAGTAAAATATGGTTTTAGTCAAACCCTATAAAATCTAATTTAGTGGGATGATTTAAAAAATTGTATTATTACATATAATTGAATCATAATATTTTGAAGTGGTACTGTGCGCAGTAATTGGGGGAGTATATGTTGTAATGTGACTATTGTCTAATTCACCTTAAAACAAATATCCGTTATAGAATCTTAGGTGAAGAAAATCTTAGGTGAACTGTGACCTGAAAACGTTGAGCAAGATAAAACAGACATTTGAATGATCTTTAATATCTAAACATTCCTGTTAGCAGAAAAAATAGACATTCTTCATGCGTCAGTTGAATAAAGACGGTAGATGTGAAACCGGCAGTGGTTGCCATAGAAACAATGCAATCTCTAAACAGTAGACCACACTAATTGCCTTACAAATATGCCTGCAGCAACGCAACAGGGTTAAAGTACTTGCTATTCGATTTATGATAAATCTTTGTTTTTTGTTTTAATAAAAAGGAACATTTGAAAAAAAAAACACACACATTTACAGAATGAGCAAACTGCTGAGGTATTAAACCTCCTTTTAACCTGAAGCTACAGTAATAAGCCATGGCCACCATGCGTATGCTTATGTTATACTGTTACTTGAAGCAAGGAAGGAACTAAAACTGCTTATGAGATTAACATTGCTTGCCAGTCCCTCTAAACACATCTCATACCCATCCATTTTAATTTATTTCAGCTTCTAGTCTCAATGGGATTTGCAAATTAATTGGAGCGGTTTTAGGCTTGCTGAAAAGCAGCACATGCTTATCTAAACAGCCCCCTCATTCCAGCAGCCTGTATCCTATTCATGGAACCCATGCTGCAGAACTGTCAGGAAATTCCACCATATCTATAAATATGTATGCGAAAAAATTCTGTTTTGTACCCTCGCTATCAGTGAGACCTGCAGCAATTTTCTTTTTAATGTATTCAATTTTTTTAAAGATCAATAACTAAGCTGTATGGAACTTGAGCATGGATGTATTTGTAATTATAATTGTAAACCATTAATAGAAATCACTACTCATTATTCTAACTAGAAATGCCAAGTACAGACTTAATTTTCTTAAAGGGATACATGTAGCAATGTAATTATTACTAAAACACAGTAGAGATGTCTTAAAACAGAAGGTGCCTGCTTGACTCACTTTCATCACAAATCCAAAGATTATGAAGTTCATACCTCATTTTAGAATAGTGGACAGAGAATGCAAATGATTTCTTATTTGTCCTTAGGGCCAACTGTACATCCATGAATGCTGGTTCACAGAGCTTAAAATGACACTAAACTAAGGAGTTAAATCTTAAAAAGGCATTCAAGTACCCTAACTATAAACAAAAATGTAGTTTATTTGTATATCACTCAGCTGTATATCCTCAAATCATCTCTGAATTTTGCTGACACCGTCCGTCCTTCTGAAGGGTGGCTACTTTTGTTTCCCATGTGTGTGTTGTAAAGTAGCCAAGGCTCCAAGCTCATTCCCGTAATGGACTACAATCTTAATACAAACTAGTAAACTAAATGTGAGATTGTAGTCCATCATGGGAGCGAGCTTGAAGCCGTTGCTACTTTACAACACACAGGGACCATGGGGAACAAAAGTAGCCACCCTCCAGAAGGAAGGACAGTGTCAGCATCAATTCAGAGATGATTTGAGGATCTACAGCCCAGTGATACACAAATAAGATACATTTATGTTAATAGTTTAGGGTTCTTAATTGCATTTTCAAGATTTAACTCCTCAGTTTAGTGTCACTTTATTATGATGGAGCCATTTATTCCATGCTACATACATATGTTTCAGGTAACCAGTGCAGTATATGGAAATAATGACTTCTGCAGAGTATGGCTTATTAAGCAAGAATTTATAGTGACGTGGGTGCTTTACTAGTTCCTTATAGCCCACCTCATCATAAAATGTCTGGCTGTACCATTATATCAGAAAACAAGAGACAGATCTGGTATAACTTAGTATATTTACCGCAAAACTGACAATAATCTAATTTCTTCATAAGGACATGAACACATCATATCCCTCTTTACTAAACTACAACCAGATTCCCCCAGTCATAACCACACTTTATTAATCCCACATGTAATTTCATTGTGAAATTATTACAATTTTGGATAAGGTGAGTTTGCTCTAAAAAACAAAGCTATACAAATGCCGCTTATGCATGTACGGTATTTGGAGGCACATGTGAGTAAACTGATTCTAGTGGCTAAAATATTCATTTTCTTTCTTACACTCAAAATAGTTTATGTGCATGTATCCCTTTAAGAGCATATGTGTGCAAGTGATGCCAGTAATCTCTTCTCCTAACACGATTTTGGGGCATTTTATTTTTATGCCCAAGAATGCTGCTTTAAAATAAGGATCTAAATACCATAATGTGCACGGACACATTGGCTAAAATAGAGCTGCATTCAGAGACCTCTAAAAGTTCAATTCTGTAATGCCTGTATGCATGGGACCTTGCATGAGAATCTTTGTTGCAAATCACAAGGTGAGGGACTGCACCATGGGCTGCTCTGCATTTGATATTTGTGAGCAAGAACTTTAACAGCTACCACAATTTACATGATTGTGTCATTTTTGAGCCAGAAACTAAGCCCAGATGTAGCTATTGACTCAGGATAATGACTGAACAAAAAAGGCTCCATCCTGCTAGAGAGAAAAGCAGATGAATGTTTTGTTCTGGGAAGTAGTCTGTGAGGGGTAAAAATACCTGTAAGTATTCACCTTAAACTTTACTTAGGTTGTATGCACTTAACATTAAAAAATAAATCTGATGCTTGGCTTACTTTAACGTATTAAAACAACCGGTACAGTGTCAAATTCTGGTCAGGACACTATCTGCAAGGAGTTTGCATGTTCTCCCTGTGCTTGCGTGGGTTTCCACTGGGTACTCTGGTTTCCTCCCACACTGTAAAGACATGCTGGAAGGTTAATTGGCTCCTGTCTAAATTGGCCTTGTGTGTATGCATGTATGTGGATGATAAGCTCCTTGAAGACAGGAACTGATGTGAATATGCACTTTAAGCACTGCAAAAATTGTCAGCATTTATAAATACCAATAATAAATAAAAAAATTAAATAATATAGCTTATGAAATAATTCCATTGTGATTG